CAGTGCTCGGGCCCTAATTACATTACAACAGGGTGGTGTTTTAAAGCATATTAAAGCACACCACATTACCTAACCCTGACCCCAAGGTACTTAATTACACAGAAGTGTGAACCCACATGCTGGTTACCTAGCAACAAGCTGTAGATGTAACTTGCAGCCACAAGAACGGCAACAGGTTGGAATGTGCTGCACTTTTTCCAAACTACATCAATAATTAAGTTTTGAGGTCGAGTTTGACAGCAATTAAAACTGTGAATAAATTCAAATGTGGTGGCTTTTCCAACGGTGTATATAACGTATTTTAAATTTCCAAGCTGCAACACATGGAAAAAAGCAACTTGTGGAATTAGTGCCGACACTCACCTCTTGCACAGCAGGTGGAGGTTCTGAAGGCCTAAGGCGTGCGTGAGGGACAGACACTCAAGAACTGTTCTCTGAACCCCGTCAATCGTCTGCAAACACATAAGAGAAAAAAGAAAAGCTGTTTATATTCATACAATTATTTAAGGAAGTTATAGGCCTTTGATGTTCAGCAGCCAATATGGTAACTAGTAACTAGCAAATAGTAAAATGGGAATGAAAAAGTGTTCAGAGGAGTGAGACAACATTATTGTTGACACTGAGCATGCAGGCACCAAACAAAACCAATAAGTGTAAAGCCAAAGGAATAAACATGGGATTTGTTCTTGGCGTCTTCAGCTGTCACACTCTACATACTGCTAAATCACTGTTGGTCTGGAATACAAGGAAAGTGATCTGACTTAACTACAAATGCAAAATGATTAGTAGTAAAAAATTATAATTTAGAATCAATTACATTTGAGCGTGTGCAATAATGCCACTTCACAGTAAGAATTAGTTATATGTGAATAAACCTTTCGAGAATGCACTGATCAAACATTTTCTCTCCTGATATGGGTTCTGGGCACCTGAACTCAGGGCCTCTGCCAGTACCGAGTGGTGATCCAATACCAGTGCTTTCTTTTACCAAATGTATTTCTGTATATCTCACTACATGGAACATGCTGCATTCACATTCGAGCACATATCATTTTAGTGGACAAGAGCAGGATGGTAAAATTAGGTGAGGCCGGCAGAGAATATAGGTGATGGTAGATGGCATTCAAATATTTAAACTTCCTGCCGTCCAAAGCATTAGGATCTGGACAAGAAGAAGCTAATATTGAAATAATTACATAAAATAATATACACTAAATAAACAATACAACTTCACCATTGCAGCATATCATCATGCATGTATTGTTTTGCCGTCCTGCCATTCCGTGAATCATTTTGATGTAAGGTAACTTAAGGCCAGGGATTCCTGTGGTGCTAAAATCTCATTCTGTGGCCCAACTAACTGAATAAATGTAACCGTTAGGACTGCACAATTAATTGAAATATTAGCAAAATCGCAGTATAGCCAAGTGCAATATGAAAATCGTAGAAGCTGCAAATTTTTGATACATTTAAAATGTGTGATTATAATGAAGTACTGTAGCCTACTGGCCTACAAATCTTGTTCTACAGATTTAAGAAAACATTTGTTTGGTACAGACACCAACAAGCATGATTTTGATATATATTTCAGAGAAAATTCAATTTGTAATGCAAAAATGATCATTCCCACACTAATCATGAATCATATCGCAATCACAGTATCTATCAAAATAATCCCAATATAATGTTTTTACCATATCATGCAGCCCTAGTAACTGGTACTTAAAACACAGATTTTTTTAAGACAAAGACTGTATTTAATGTGGATCAGTCACTTTACAGCTAATATCCAATCCACTTAATAAAGACAGTATTAGCCACGATAGTCCCTAATTTCAAGCAGACTGCTATTAACCTGTACCTGCTTTGTAAACTCTGTTGCGAGAACAGGCAACAGATTTTCCAGTACACAGGAATCATGCAGGTGTAATGTAAGGACATTGTTCACGTAGGTATTAAATCTATTTATCTGGTTACATGCTGTGGTGGTCTAATTAAGTCTAATTCTATTTGTTTGTGTTTAGGAAAGCACACTTATTTGATGTATAGTAAGCCTGGTTTTGATTTTAAAATGTCTACATTGACAGGGGGTTGTATTTATACATTTACAAAGCATAATGTTAAGGTGAAAGATGTGTATGAATTTCTAATACTGAATAAGAGTGAAGACAGAAAATAACTATATATTTCATCTCATTTGTGGAGCCCCAAATTCAACATTTTTGAAAAATCTAAAATGCTCCATATGTGAAACTATATGCACTGTACATATAGAAAGGTAGAGGAAATCCCCCTTTAAGGTATTCACTAGTATTCCTTCTATATCGCTGACCTTGGGGAAGAAGCGGCAGTAGTCTCGGGTCAGAACCATCTCCACCACGTCTTTCAGCCCCTCCAAACCCAACATGTCTGCCGCCAACACCACCTGGCTGTGGGACAGGAGACACCAAATACAGGTCAGTTTCTTTTCTGGGCCTGTATTCTAATTTTGGACAGTCTGTTCACACACAGTACCTGGCACTGGCTCCAGGTGGCAGATCCACAATGGCCCCATACATGAACTGGAGCAAGATCTCCATCTCATCTGGCCCTAAGCTGAAACAGTTAGCAAAAGAATCTGTTTACAAGCCATAAGTCAAGTTAACATATGGTATTGTCCCCCATCACAACCTAACACTCTCTATGTGAGTGTTTTGTCTATACTGCATATTTCTTTCAAGAGCGGTGCAAACACAACTAAGAATGCTGTAAACAAACTCCATATATCATGCAGCACTCAGTCCATGTGACTGCGGCCCGAGGACCCCCCCCTCCGCGCACATCAATGCTGCCGCTCTCCATTCTGACAGCCGTGTCTTCCCCCGTTACCCTCAGATCAGTAATGCTGAGGCGAGTGACACGTCTCTCCCTGGAGAAAAAAAAAGGCTTCATTTGCCTCTGCCGCTCTGAAAGGAGACTGCGGGTGGTAGTGGGGGGGTGCTGGGTGCTGGTGGTGGGGGCTCTTCAGCAGGCATTGGATGAAAAGACATTTATGTGCCTCACAGTGGAAACACCGCAACCATGCTCGGTAGAAATCTGAGCGAGCCATTTGAGATTCCGCTGGCAGTGGGTGGTGGCTGCGTGCGTGTGTGTGTGTGTTTGAGTATGTGGAGTTAAAACATGGCATTGTGAGTGAAACCCCATACTGTACAGAGCCACCTCTGTTGCAAGGCATGAATAATTGATGCAGCACATGCAGTAATCCAGCTGTATTTTTCAGGAATGAAATGTAGCATTGTTAGGCCAGGAGTGGAGGTGTATTATTGATCCCTGCTGCTGGATGATGCTGAGGCACCAGTCTTACCCTTGCAGAGTGATGCACTGTCTGGAGCTCTCCATCCAACTCCCGCTCAGCATGGCTCGGAAGTACTGAGACCGCGCACACAGGATTGCCCTAGAAACCCAATAAAGCAGGCAGTTGCATGTCAGATCCACCCACTGTTTTAATATTTCACATGTCATCCAACGGGCTTGTGTGTGTGTTTAAGTGGTTTTGAAGAGACTAGCAGGAGGACAAAAAAATATAGTGTGCGTTCTGTTTCTATTGTGCCTGACTCTCAAGACTGTACTGTAACTGATATGGAAATATACTCCTACTGAGGTGTTTTAGGAAATAACTTGTTTTTTTCTTTTTATGTAACAGCATATTTGTGACCTGTTTCTGAAAGATTTAACTCTTCAGTAGGAACCAGTGTGCTTGAGGCTGAGACCCACAGACAGAGTGCGGACATTAGAAAGTACTGTGAGATGCATTGTTGGATTAGTTTTTTTTTCGCATTATATTTTGTAGAAAGAAATATAGCCTTTGTGTGATGGAAGTCAGTCGCAATAGTTCTGCAATAGCAACTGTGTAATGACATTGCTCTGCCCTACCTCACACCTTGGGTTTTACACCTTTTCTTTTCATCCTTTAATTCTTCAAACATAACTAATTAAAATGATCTAAAAATAAGAAGTCATTTTATAGTCATTTATATCACATCTGTGTATATTGTGATGCTGTATGATATTTTCCAAAAATTGAACTGAAAAACTACTTAAATAAGCCTTGGACAACAGTCGTGTAATATAATTTTATATTAAGGGTTGCCCAACATATTTGCTCTAGCTGTAGTCTGAGATAGAACACTCACAACACACAAGTTCTGAAAAGCCTCAAAAAGCCTGACTACATTCAAAACATACCTCAATATTATGATCATGATGAAAAGATAATAACTTATATCAATACAAGGATATTATATTAAGTTTATTGCCAAGCTATACTCCTGTGTAGCAGATATATTGCTTTCTTATGAAAATGAACAAATCAAAGCGAGTGGCAACCTTGGTGAGAAGTGAGCTTTCTTCAACAAACTCATACCAGCTTTTTATTTTCATTATTAGAAAAGATCCTTGTTCAGTCAACACTTTTATCTGTCCTGGATTATGCATGCATCAGACTCACTTCAGCAAAGGCTTTGTGTCATCCATTCATCTCTACATTTTATTTTTAGCGTTTAGCATTTTTTTGGTAAATATTTTAAGTAATAATAATAAGTTACAAGTGTTACAAGTCGAACTCAACAAACTCTTCTCAACAAACTCAACAAACTCTCTCTGCACAAAACTGTGGAATGTCACCTGTTCATGAGTATGGGCGAGTTTTGATCTCTCACTAGCATAATCACCACCTCTGAGCTGCTACACTATATGGCCAACAGCCCTATTAGTTATTGATTTCAGGTGTTTCAGCCACACCCAACAGATACCTAAAATCCAGCACATAGCAATGCACTCTCAATAGACGAACATTTAGAATTCAGAATGGGTCAGAGACATGAACATGCATGATGAACACTTTGCAAAAGGCTGCCTGAAACGCGATAAAGAAAAATCCTTTGATGTACCAAAAACCAGGCATTAAACAAGCCCGGGGATAAAGACCGTAGTGTTGATTATCATGCTTCAGCCTCTCCCCTCCTCATAGACAAACACAAATGGAGCAAAGTCAGCAGACAGCAGATTAGAGTCCACTGTTGAGACACTGAAGTGAAGTTTAAAAAAAAAAAAAAAGTGGTTATAGGCTAATGGAGAATGTTCACCTGCACAAAGACCCTCAGGCAGCTGTTGAAACGAGGGATTTTTTCTACCCACTGACTATATACAGGTTGCCATAAATACTATGCCTAAAGAAATACTATACATTTACAAGCCATGATGTTGAGAAAATGGTGAGACTATAGAATATTCATTTTGCATTAGTTATTATTTATGTTCATTTGACAACCCCACAGAATGTGACTGCTGGTCCTATGCTACTGCGCTATATGCCATATCTAAATGTTGGATTTTTGAGACAATGTGTTAAGTAGTCTCTTGTGAGGGGATAATGCATCTCAAGAGATATTAACATTACATTAACAGTAAAGTAGAAGTATGGGTGTTGGGCCCTGCAGCTGTTCTACAGATCACTGCTGCAGAGTAACAAAAAACAGCCGAGCTCCTGCTCTCTGACGAGCTCTCGCTGGCTGGCTGCTCCCCTGAGCACGAGCTGGGAGAAACCTGTCTCCATGGTTACCAGCTGCTACTACTACCTCTGCATCACTGAATGACCACCCACCACTGCTCCACACTGGCAAGAGTCAACAGCAGATGTGTGATGGTGACATTCTTAAGAGAAAGAAAGTGCTTTTTGATTACAAATGTATGAATAAGGGTGGCAGCTGGGAGGCAACTAAAAATAGTTCTACCTGTGGCAGGAGAAGACCTGCTCCGCCACTTCAATGGTGATGTCACAGTGCTCTCCCCTCTGGTACAGATCCAGCAAGTCAGCTCCGAGGCCCGAGGCCGGTTCCAGAACAGCGTCTGGAGTGAAGTTGAGATGGATAATGAGGAAGGACAGGAGGGAGAGAGTGATGAGAGAAAGGGTGTGAGTGTGTGAGACACGTAAGATTGGTATTTGTGTGTGTGTAAGAGGGAGGGAGGAAGGGGGTGAGGGGGAGAGAGAGAGAGAGAGAGAGAGAGAGAGAGAGAGAGCAGAGGATGCTATCATTAAACCACTTAACTAAAAATAGTGGGGAAAAAAGTTTGTTAAAGCACAGCTGCATTATCTGTAGCATGGCCATGCTGCAATTAGCAGTAACGACAACAGGCATCCTAATGCGATTAACTCTTAAGTGGATTATGGCTGAGATGACATGATGTGAGGAAAGGGGAGGGAGGGGGCAGCTGAACCGTCACATAACCTAGAATAAACCCTCCATGGAAAAGCGTGTTGATCTGTTTACCTGAGTCAGTGAAACTATGAAGGTCTGCTGGGTCGGGAACAGGCGGACTACTTTCTGTCACTCTGCCCTCCACGTCTGGGATTATTTCAGCCGAGCGCATTCTCTGGTCTGCTGTGTACACTCGCCTGCAGGGGGGGGGGGGGGGGGGAGACTCTAAAGGTTAATTAAAAGTAGGCCTTTCACAACTGTTTAAATGAAAGTCTCATTTTATGCACTGTGATTTCAGTGGCACCTGAAATGTGAAGGATTTTGTTTTTCTCAGTGAAGCATT